TCATATTTAAAGGGGCTGCTGTGAAATGTGGAATATAGTGTAAACAAGTCCCTTAATACAGAAAGATATCATATTTTTATCCAGTTAGTTAATACACTAGTTAGAAATATAACAAATGCATACTGGATCAAGCAGGAGTCCACTGAGTTCAGACTGTCATCTTTCACAATGTCTAGTACTAGCTTCACCTAAAAAAGACAGAAGTATGCCTGCAGAAGGTACTTTTGACATAACTGGATCATACAGATGCTTCTTTGCAGCTTTCATTAGACCCTGGTTTATGCCCTGAGAGCATGACATTTTTATTTACCTTTCAAAACCCAGAACAAACGGTGTTAATCTTTTAGCAGGAATTACCCATACTAATGCATAGGCATAGCTTCTCCTAGGTCATCCCTAACCATTACTTATCAAGTCTCTCTTGAAGACCTCCAGTGATGGAGTTTCCACAACTTCCTTAGGCAGTCTATTCCACTGCCTCAACTGTTCTAACAGAGAAGTTTTTCCTGATATCCAGTCTAAACTTGCTGTACTTCAGGCCATGTTTCTATGTCCTGCTCTCTACAGCTTATCATCTCTCATCTTTATGGCAGCCTTCAGGTATTTGAAGACTCTGATGCATCACCCCTTAAACACCTTTATGGCAAGCTGAACATGTGATCAAGTTTTTTGACATGGTTTGTTCACAGTAAATCAAGGCTGGCTTGCGATCAGCCTTTCATTCTCCATAAAGATGGGAAAAGATAGCTTCATCCCAGAGTACTGAAAGAACTGGCACAGGAGGTCTCAGAGTATAACAGAATGATAGAACGTTTACATATTTATGGGAGACAGGCGAGGAATCAAATGACTGGAAAAAGGCCAACATAGTCCACTTTAAAAAAAGGAGTGGGGGCGGGGGGGGGAATTATGGATTGGTTAACCTTACCTCTATACCTGGGAATGGACCTCCTTATGAAATGCTCCAGTAAATTTCCAGGTATAGAGGTGAGGTTAACCACTCCATAATTCCCCAGGTCCTCCTCTTTTTTTTAAAGTGGACTATGTTAGCCTTTTTCCAGTCCTTTGATTCTTTACCTGTTCCCATAAGTCTGTACATTTTATTCTCACTGACTCTGAGACCTTCTCTGCCAGTTTTGTCAGTAGTCTGAGATGACACTCATCAGGCCCTGCTGACTTGAATTCATTCAGACCCATCAAAAGCTTTCTGACTGCTTCTTTCGCTGTCTCTTTTCTCAGCATGTCCCCTTCCGTATCCAAATATTCCTTGTTAGCTGTCTGCTTTCAGCCCAATTCTTCTGAGATAGTTGAGGAAAAGTAATTGTTGAGCAGCTCAGCTTCTTAGTATTTTCTTTGTAGAGTTGCCCTAGTCTATTTACTAGTAGGCATACAGCTTCCTTGTTTTTATGTATAGAATCTCTAATTGTCCTTAACTTGCCTTGCCAGGTTAAATGCCTGTAAGTTCTTGCTATATCCTGGCATGTTTCCTTGGTGACCTGCTCATCTTTCCATTGCCTGCATATTTTTCTTCTGCATTTGAGGCACCCTAGAAACTCCTTGTGCTGCCACATTGGTTTATGTTTTATGGCTTAATTTAAATCTAATGAATCAATGCAAAACTACCAGGCTTTAACTCAGGCAACTGGATCGTGTTAATAATATTTATTTTAAAACACTAGCACAGGAGGAAGAGAGAGAAACTTAGCCTTCGTAACTTTCCTTTCGGTTCAAACATAAGAATGCAAGGTTTGGTCCTTATGTCAGAAGGCAGATGTTGAGGCAGATGTCCCTGATTTGGGCCTAGTGGCACAGTAACCCTACAGCACATGATGAACAAGGGCTGCTTTCTTATTGCTCACCCATATACACTCAGCTCCCCAAAGGCAGTGGAGAGTGACCAAAAGAAGCAGGGAGCTGGGAAGAGGGTCATCAACAACAAACATGAAGTCCTAATGATAACAGTGAAGGGGAACTATCTGAAAATTATATCCATTCTAGTCTGGGATCCAGCTCTTGGCCACTCCAAAATCTTACTAACTTGGTATATTCCTGGCAGAAGCACACAACTTTATAAGAAATCTATTTGAGTGACTGAACATGTATGAACAGCACATTTATAAAAGTTCATTTATGATTCAAGATGGTTATCAAGTCAAACCAAATCTGCCAGTGATCCATTGCACACCGTACATTTGAGAACTCTATGACAGAATTAAACAGCAGGCACACAAAATATTGCTGTATCAGTTTTCTTTACATCTTTAAATAATGGTTAAAAAAGGCAACTTATACACTGACAAAAGTGAGTCAACCAAACATACCAGAAAGGAGTTCTGTTTTTTTGCTTTGATTTTTTTTCTTTCCACACACAATTTAAGTTATTTTACTGATTATTTCATTCTTATGTATCAGGGCAAATCCTTATGTATTTATTCTTTAACTTTGTTTATAGCCTATGTCCATCTCAAATTGTGAGTAAAACCAGCATGGCTGTGTGAGTGCATGGAACAGAAGGAAAGAGTGACGTTCAGAGAAAAACTGCATGAGCAAAGGTAGCAAAAGTAAGCATAATTTAATGCTAGAGAGATATACATTTGTGTATATCACAATATACCATTGTACATAAATAAAAAGGGTAGGTGAGTGGTTTCTATTACAAACAGAATCACTAGTCCTACCCTCAAGATTGGAGGAAGTTATCTAAATTTTTCACTGGTTCAAATCCATCCATCCATCTTTCCCCTTCCTTTTTTTTTTTTTTTTTTTTACATAAATTCTTGATCTTACTCAACTTTATTTAAATAATCATCTATATCATAAATCCAACCATCGCACACAGCACAAATTATCATGATTGTTGATAGTCTTTATCAGGGAGCTCAAAAACTATATGTACATGGAAAATGAAAACAAAGATAAGGTGATACCTTCTCTATCAGGAAAGGCAACGTCAAAAATCTGTCCACAGCTATAGTCTCTAGCACCATCCACAAACATTATACTAATGTTACAAAAAGATTTTATAACATCTACTGTTTCAAATTTTGGTCTGTCCACTGACCAATGATTTGAAATGATTTGGGAGGAAGCTCGTTTAAAAAAAAAAACCCCACATACACATATTATGGGAACAAATTGTTTCTGTGACATTGCCAATGCTGAGTAGCCAGCCAGATAAAAATAAGGGAAGACAAAGAAGAAGCCAGAGAAACCATAAGAGAAGAAGGCCCAATGTAAGGAAAAGAAACAACTCTGAAGAAATGGAATATAAGCAGAGACTGAGAGAAACAGACAGAGAAAAGGAGAAAAGCTACCTAAGTCAGAAACTGAAGGATTGTATCTCAGTGAAGGAAATGAATTAAGGAGAGAGAAAAACAATACTTTAAAAAATTAAGGATTAATAGACTAAAACTGGATTTTATCTATTGCTTATTTCTTCATGCTGGAGTAGAAAACAGTTACTCCAGAAATAATTAGAATTATTTCCCCAAAACAATAACTTGTTTCTTTTAATCTACTCCTTTTTTACATATATTCACATGTATATTTTTGAATGCACATGCACTTACCTATCACTGCAAGAAAAGTAAGTGAAGTACTTCTTTTTTTTTTTTGGCCAATGGAGATTGTGTATTTGGCATAAAATCACTTTTGCTTTAGGGCAGCAAAATGTACATTAGACAAGTATTTCTATGTTCTAAGTATATCATTATAATAGGTTACTCAGTGATCACTAGAAAAATATTCCAATAGCTATGCTACTCAAATTCAAACAAAAAACATAATTATTAAACCCCTAAAACATCTGAGATAATACTGGCAGATGCTGATTAAAAGAAAACAAAAATCTTTGATTTACAAATCAAGCTTGTGACACCAGCATCACAATTACCAAAAATTCAAAACAATTCTTAAATAGTGATGTTTTGCTCACTAGCTTTGTGTTTTGCCTAATAACTTTTGTTTCCTATCTTAGAAAAAGACACCATAAAATAATGGGGGGGGTTTTTCCATAGTGATTTTGCCTCATGGCAGGAAAAAGGCAAAAGAACTGGCCCCATTTCCAGAAGCACCCAAGTAGCAAAGTCTTTGGGAACCAAATTCTCAGGTGAGGTAAATTGGTGTAACTCCTTTGAAGTCCAGGGAATTATTTCAGTTGACACACTGAAAAATCTGATCCGACTGTTAATGCATTAGGTTTTTCTTCTGCCAGTATAACCAAAAGATACATATATATCTCAGTTCTTAGAACAACTTAATTTTGCTGAGGGAAAGAGAAGAAAATATCTGAAGGACTTCCTTTTAAAAAAGTCACCCACATCAAAAAGTACAATTTATTATGTTTAACACATTCTTTTTATATTACTTATATAAGTATCCTGCTGCATATTATCTTGGCATTTCATTCAGTCACCTTTGATTTTTGTCAGATGACTGAGAAGGAATTTGGACCCTGGTAATACAGCCAGATCCCAAAAGTAAACTCCGTTTGATAGCCACTCTCTCCTAAAGTCTAGCAGAACATTCATAAAGCTGAATGAGCACAATCCTAACATACCATTGTGTGAGAAGCAACTGCATAGTTCATATTAAGTGCAGACCCAAAATGCAAAAGGTGGATCAACAATACACAAACGAGCCATGCGAAGATACAAAATCATTCAATCCAAATTCACTTTCAACAATTGGTAACACTCCCATTCATGTTTGCTATTGTCTTTGAGAATAGTCAAGATCTTAAAATATGTTCAATCTAGTGGTAGGGCATTTTAAAGTTTATGTTTACTGATATATTATTTCTGCTTTGAAGGGCAGTACACATTGTTTGCCTTGTAATGTTTAAAAATTAAGAACTTTCCTTTGGGTAAAGTTTCAAAACAGGAAAAAAGTTAAAAGAAAAAAATGAGTTAAATGTTCATCTTTTGAAAAAAAAATACAGAGAAAAATACAGATTCTAAGATCTAGACTGCCTGCTCTATACTTCTGAACAAATGCCTTACCTCATAAGCAAACATCAAGGATGGATAAGTTTTTATATAACCAAGTTTCTGCAGAGCTAGAAAAACTGTGCAACGGACAGTTTCCCATCTAGCTGCTTCAGGTCTAGAAACAAAAATAAAGAAATAATTAAATAAATTAATGTAATTTTTTCTGCTCTTCTGTGTGTTACCTGTCAAAAATGTCATTGAATAATAGGGGTCCACCCAACTCGAGGTGGCGGCCAGCTGATTTCCCAGGCAGATCGTGAGGCCAGCTGCTATTTTCATGGGCTTATGGTAATGCCCCTCTCCCCATACCTCTGATTGGCCTAGGGGCCCTGCTCCCTGCTGCTGATTGGTAGAAAGGGCTGGCTGTCCATCATACAGTCCTACTTCCACCACTGATTGGCTGAGAGAGCTGTGTGTCAAGCAGCCTCTCCCCCTCACAACTGATTGATGGGGGGGGCACATAACAGGCAGCCCTCTCTGCCAATCAGCAATGAGGGGCAGGAGCGGCAGTCATCTTGCCTGCTCACCTTAGTGCTGGCAGTGCCCTTCATGCCCAGCTATGTGGCCGTGAGGACTGCTGGCTCACAAGGGGGAGCCAGCATTTTATTTTTAGTAAGTTTTTTTTGTTTGATTGTTTTGTTTTTCTACAGAGTTCATGGAGATCACCCAATTTTGCGATTTCCATGAAATCCGTTAAATCGTGATTTGAGTAGGTCCCTAGTGATAAAGAAGAACACAGAACTAGACACTAAAAGTCCCATGGTTGTATGGAATGGCATGAGAAACTATACCTGATCTGGAGTATACATGTTAAGAGTATGGGCAAACTAACAAAGTACAGCAAATTCAAGGGGGATGGGGAATTTTACCCTTGAAGGGAACACAGCTAAGCTGTCCCTGTTTAGTTTCAAGTTACTATGGCACAAGAGAAGGCACATGGATAGTTGTTGAAGAGCAGCTGCTCTGCTGTCCCCTTTTAATTCTCTGAATTTCATTTTATGAACTGTAATTTTGAATTTTCAGAATTTGTAATACCTGATGTGTGTATCAACCTGTGTAATGTACCTCATCTTAAATTATTTACTTGTGCTATTAACTTAATCTCTAAAACAACACAGTCTTGACTAGCAGACTGAATAAAACTATGGCCTTTTGGTTCCTATTGGTAAAGTAAATTGTTTATTAGAAAACTATGGGGGGGGTATATGGGTAATTTATGAAAAATCTTTGTCCCCAGTAGGTGTTGTATGGCCTTGTCCACTTCTTGGTTGATGCCTTCCTCCCTAGAGACGTCAGGGTGAGACCACACCCTAGGGCCACCTAGATGGTTCCGAGTGCTGCCCCTACTCTCCTGCCATGACTTTGATGTTGATAGATGGGGGAGGCAGTTCCCTGTCAGTGGTCCCAGCGGGGTTGTAGTTCTGGGTCTTCCTTTGTGGGGCTCCAAACCTTCCCTTTACCCCACCCTTTACCACATCCACAGCCTGGGAGAGCTAAGCCTCCTTGTACCTTTCCCCGGGGTGATGTCTCCTCACCCACGAGGACCACCCTGAGCAGGGTAGGGTGTCCGGCTATCAATCACCACGGGACTGATCCTTAATCTTCAGGCCAAGCCATGGACAAACTAAACATGCCCCAGCCTGGAGTAATGATAACTCAAAAGGTCCGTCACTCCCTGAGAAGGCATTAGTCGTCTACTGACGGAGTACAGGGGACTCCGGCTCCCTGGACCCTTCTGCCTCCCTGGAGAAAAAAGAGACTTGACATCGATCCCTCCGCTTACTCTTTGCAGTGGGCCTGCAGGTTGGGAGCTAGTCATTCCTGTTCCCACCAATGGATAGGAGCTGCCCCTTCCCCTCCAGGTTCTGGGCCAGTTGCCTCCTGCTCCTCTTTCTTTACCCAGCTGCCCACCAAGTCTTGGCATCGCTCACCACCCCTCCCCACAGGGGTACCTGGCCGCTCCCACAGAGCCTGATCTTCGCCCATGACTGTGGGGACAACCTTCCTCTCCCTGCCATGCTTCTCTGGCCAACTCCGGCTCCTTGAGCTCTGCCCCAGGGCTTTTCCTGCCAGGCTGCCCTGTCGGACGCTAGGGCTTCTCACCCTGAGCCCCGCTCTACCGCTCCTACCTGGCTCTGCTGCCTGTGGCTCCCTGATTGTGTCTTGCTTCTTCCTGCCGGCATTCTGCTCCCCTCTGCTCGGCTCCACTGTCTGGGTCTCTGTGCTGGCGTCCTGACCTTGCTCGCTGGCATCCCACTGCTCCTCACTTGGCTCAACTGCTCACCTCACACCGGTAGCCTGTATCTCCTTCCCCAGCTGCCTTTTGAGCAGCCCACACTGCTCCCAGGCTCTGCCCCCGGGGATCACTGATCTGCAGGCTCAGGCAGCTGTGGAGCTGCTGAGCTGTGTTGGCGTCTTCCCCCAGCTGCTGCTCATCCCGACCCCTGTGGTAAGTAGTGAGGCTCATCAGGCAGGGTCCCAGGACACGCTGGGAGGGGGGCTTCTGTTCATTTATAATTCATCTATAATCTTTATCTATAATTTGACTCCGTTTCCTTACAGTTCAATTTTCCTTTCTTTACACTTATCTACATTATAAACTGCATAAGATTTTGCATATTTTTCCTGTCCTGAAAATAAATTTTAATGTACATAAATCAAAATATTTCTTTGCAAGCAAAAAATGAATGATGGATTTAAAACAGAGCTGGATTTCACCAGAATGTTAAATGAAAAAATATACATTTCTTTGACAGATTTTTGGAGGCAGAACTAATAAAGTATCTCCATTGGAAAGACTTTTCCATTATTTTCTGAGGCCATATTGCTCATTCTGTGCATGTACTTATTAATGCAAAGCAATAAAGTCCGGTGCTTATCGCTCCAGAGTTTATTGCTCTGGGAGTGCCTTCTTCATGTGCACCCAGCTGTGGAGGTGCTGGCTGGGGCACAAGGGTGCTTCAGTGCAGGGCTGAGATTGGGGAATTTGGCAGCCCCCCTATTGAAGCACCTTTGTGCCCCAGCCAGCCGGAGCAGTGGATAGTAATTATTTTTACAAGTACTACCCTGCTGTGGAGTAAATTAGTTTACTCCAGCCTAAAAAAAGTGCATTTGTAGATGTGTGACATTTACTGCACAACTAATCAGTCTACTGCGCTGTAAATGTCTCATGTCTATGCCTTGTGAGTAGTACTACAGTTCTCAGGAAGTCTCCATGACTTCTCCCAACAGATGTTATTTTTAAGTGTGTCATAATTTTGTTTTTAGTTTGCACTGTACAAACAAACAATTTGCATCTGATTAGCACAAACATTTTGGTATATCTGCAGTTTCCACATTTTATATGGGATAATTGTGATGAGCAACAGAATTTTTGTTATTATTACAGTTTTTCAAAGCAAGGAAATAAAAAAAGAAAAAAAAATATCTTGCCTTTTGTCCATAAGCAATCCAATGGCGGTCAATGTTAGGATAATATAGCCAATCCTCAGGAGAACTGTTACTTGCGATAATGTCTGTTAAAGAAATATCAAATGAACAAATTACTCATTTAGAAAAACTCTCTAAAGGGATATTGTGTTTTAAACCTGACACTGAAGCAATCTGAACATTCACTCTCAATTATACATTAGTGTCAGCTTTTAAACCAATGTCATTGTTTGAACTAAAAACTGTAAAAATTTCCCGATCTCAGGCCTAAATGTCCTTGTTTTTTGTTTTGGGAAATGACAAGAATCACATTTAAAAATAAATCTTCAGGTACAAATAGTTTCAATTTTTTTCATTATTATTAGTTCTGCTAAAATTATTTGACCCATTTGTGCTTTTATTTAAACAGAAATAAAGATCAAACCACAACCCTGCTTTTTCCCATCTTAAAGTCACTGCATCCTTGCAGCTTCCAAGTTTGACTTTCTAAGACTACTGGCAGCTGAAAACAAGCACACCCCTAAAGAAAGAGAGTAGGGATGTAAAGGCATACAGCGGTGTTAGAAAAATAACCCTAATTTAATTCCTTCATCAAAGTTCAGCACTTGGCTCCCAATTCAGCAAAGCATTTCATTATGTTCTTGACTTTATTGGATCTTAAAACCTTTAAAACACAGGGTGAGATTACACATTATAATCAGGCCATATTAAGAGAATTTAAAACTTGAACTATTGCACATTAAGGCTTATTAAAAAGTGCTAACTGCTGTCTAGACATCTTAAAGTTATGCCACTTCCAGCAAGGATTATCTTTCAGCTATGCTACCCAGATCAAATTAAGTTAACTTTTGAGTGGTAAGCTACAACTTTACTAATAACATTATTAAGGTATGTTATAGGTCCATTGTCTTCTCTCTCTCATTTAACAAGCTCACAAAGTATCCACTATGTCATCAATAAACTGGGCTATATACCTGTCTGAATCCCCCACCCCAACTCCACTCTTTTAAAAAATCTTCTCTTCTCTCTACGTGAGAAGATGGACAGAAGATACCAAGAGGGACCTCAGTGTAATAGGTAGAATCAAGCATTTGGAATCTCCACATTGATGTTTAGAGGCCATTATTTTGCACTGTGGTAGATGCCTAGCAATTGCTTGGCAATATCACACTTACTAATTTATCATCAACAAACTAAAGAAACATGGGCTAGATGAAACTACTACAAAGTGGATAGATGTCTGGTTCAATAGCTGCAAGCAAAGGGTAATTATTAATGGGTCATGTCTGAATGCCAGGAAGTTTCAAATGGAGTCCCATAGAGGTCTGTCCTGGCCCTGGTGCTGGTCAATGTGTTTATTATTTATTTGGATGCTGGCATAAGAAGTTTGTTGAGCAAATTAATGGACAACATGAAACTGGGAAGAATTATGAACATGTTGGAGGATGCAAGCAAATTCAGAAGTATCTTGGCAAATTGGGAAGTTGGGCTAGAGCCTACAGGATGAAGTTCAATGTGGACAAATGCAAGGTGCTTCACCTCTGGAGGAATAAATAAAAAACATTAGGGGTGCACCTTTTTGGTACGATACAGATGGCTGATTTTTAACAAGCCACATGGGCTGATTCCAATTCAATTGCTGATATCTGACCCAGCAGCTTGGACAGCAGGATCTGGCTAGTAAGTCTGTTGTAGGGGAAGGGGAAGGGGAAAGGGAGGAGGGAAGGAGCAGAGGGGGCAGATCAAGGTTGCTGTGATGAGAGAAGGAGTGGGGCTTGGGCAGGCGATACCCAGCTAGGGCAGGGCGGGGCATGGGATGGGGATGCAGCCCATCCAGGGGATGGGGAGGTGGCTCCTGCCGCTGTATGCACCCGTAGGGGGGCACAGAGGGGTGCCCCCCGGATCTGTGTGCAGGGTGAAGGTGGGCTGCCACTGCAGACTGGGGCCAGAGCCAGTGCTGGACTCTTCCCAGCAGGGGGGCCAGGCTGGGCTGCACTCAGGGTGGGCAGTGGTGGCATTGTGATGGAGGCTACACTGAATTTTGGGGTGGCTGTAGCCCCTGTTGTAGCCTCCCTCCAATTCTGCTGTTGCCTGCCCGGAGTGCAGCCCTGGCTGAACCCCTCCACTGGGAAGAGCTCAGCACAGCCCTGGTGCAGTGGCAACCTGCCCTCAACCCATGTACAGACCCAGGGGCACATGCCCCCCCATGCCTTCCTGGGGTGCATGTAACAGCGGGAGCCTTCCCCCATCCCCATGCTCCCTGAACAAATTGCTCATGGCTCTGTCCCATGCCCCACCCCACCCTAGCTGTGCAGTGTCTTCCCCTGCCATAGCCCCGTTTCCTCCCTCACTGCAGGGGCCTTAATCTGTGCCCCCAGCCCCCTCCCTCCCCCAACAACAGACTTAACAGCTGGATGCCACTCTCCAAGCTGCCAGCCTGTGCTCCTGGCCACTAGGGCTGTGCGAAATGGCACTGTTCCATTTCACTTAAGTTTCAAGGTTTTGACAGAACAGCATTTCATTTTGAATTTCATTTCAATTTGAAACAGTTGTTCCATTTTGCTTTGTCGAAATAGTGAGGCTGTTTCAACACTGTTTCACCAATCTGCTATAATGGGGAAGCTCAAAACAGCTTCTCTCATCTGGCAGACAGATGGGGGCCTGGAACCCCAGGAGGGCTGAGAAGGAAGCCACCTGAGACCAGGGAGCTGGAGAAGGGAACTGAGCCCGATTGCTCAGTTCCCCTCCCCAGCACTAGATCGGGCTGGGGAAAGAAACTCAGCTCAGTTCAGCTGAGTTCCCATCTCCAGCACTAGATGGGTGAGGGTTGATTGCTTAGTAACTGGAATCACACCTCCTGCATGGAGGCATTGGCTTCCAGAGGGGCAGGAAGGGCTAGGGCCCATAATAATTATTTCAGTTTATGGAGGGGTCCCACCAGCCAGATAGAATTACATGGCAGACCAGATCCAGCCTGTGGGCTGTGCTTTGCCCACTGCAACTTATACTCTTATTTAGTACTATGGGCAGGTTACTGCTTTTATTTAGGATTTCTTTTTGAGTTTCAACTCAATTAAGTGATTTCTGTCTATACAGATCAACAGGAATCCTGGTTAACTCTGATTATAAAAAATCACCAATTTTCAGGTTAAAAAAGTAAGCCAAAATCCATATTTTTCCATGATTAAAATGATACACCACTAATTCATATAATTCATATCTATAGGGAGAGTGTTGTTTCATTTTGACCATGAAAAAATGTGGTTACTTTTTTTAACCCAAAAATTGGGGATTTTTTTTAATCAAAGAAAACCAGGATCCCTGCAGATCAGTCACCTGTTGCACTTCCCATTCTTCCATTTTACTGGAATAGTTTGGTCATTCACCCTTAATATGGCATCATTGGAATATCACCAGCTCCCCTGGACTCCAGTTCCCCTCAGACTCGACTCCCAGGGAATCCTGCCCACTCATTCCCTGAGTTTGCTAGAGTGTGTTTCTCTGAATGTCTTCTTTCTGCTGCTCTCAACTGAACTGAATTGAGTGAATTGCAGTTGAGTTTTAAACTTGTGATATTCAAGTTCAAGCAAGACATAAGGAAGATCAATTGTGGTAGACAGATTGTATAGCTAGATTTCCAATGTAAAAACAATAAGAACAGGAAAGAGAACAGAACCAGATGTTATATATTATGAATAACAGGCTTAAAGATAACTAAACTTTTAGCACCTGGATTAAAATGCAACCTACATCACATATATAAAGCTCTCAATTGGATATAAAATTTCTTGAGCCATGAGAATCTGTTTTATAATTTCTGCTTCCCAGATTAATTCATATCACTTTTCAACAACTCCCACAATGGGAATGTATAGTTTCTAACAGGAACCTGGTAGAACTTGATCCAGACCCAACACATAGCCTAGAATGGGGAGCCTAAAATAAATCTCAAGTATGAAAGGGTGGTCTGTAGGGCTAAGTACAGACATTCAAGAAGCCTGAGCCTGAACTGATTCAATCTTTGCAGGTTAGTGTAAACTGTGTAGATTGAACTGAGAAGCAAGTGAATAGACATTCACTTTTCATTCAGGAAATGCAGCCACATGCCTGCAGCAGCTCAGGC